TTTTTCAAGAATGGTCGTCCGTCTCGCAACAATTCTAAGAGGCGGAGGGGAGCAGTGTAGGGAATATTTCAGAAACATCGATAAACATGGAGGCACAATGTAAGATTAGTCATCGAACGAAGGTGGATGTGACGCAATCGAGGAAAAATGACGTGTTTCTTGGTTTATTCTAGAACATTCCGAAGTGTTATAAGAATATTCTAGAACCATTGTCGTTTACTATACGTATAAGGCACGGTATAAGCAAATTGTAGCATATTTCAGTCAGTCCTAACTTCGATGCGCTTGTGTTATGTTAGAAATTGTAAGTAATCCATTAATTAATTATAAATAAATAACACCACGTAATTAAATTTATATTACAATAAGTTTGTTGTAGCTGAAAAAGTCTGTTTATTATTGTTCAATTCAGGAAACGGGCAAAAATAAATAAATTAAAATTTTGTATTTACTCATTTTTGTTTCAATAATTTAACGGCACGAGTGATTTTTACTAAAATGCTTAATTTCCTTAGCTTCTCAGATTTCCCACAACAAAAAATTACAAATGGGCACACGGATAGACGCAGAAATTTACTGTAAATTTTGCTGTAAAATAATTAGGGGAGAAAATGTTTCAATAAAAAGAAATTACTATTGAAACCCCTGTATACGTATAAACAAATGATTATCTTATTCAAGGTGTGCATTTTTTTTCGAAACATTTTCCTTATTCGTTGATCGAATGTAGAGCCTTTGTGTTGTGTAACCTATGTGACTTGGATTAAGGGGCATATTTCAAACTTTTGGTTGGTTTTCAACAAAACGTCAATAGATACGAAAATCAGTTATTATCAAACAGCAAACAACCTGCGCCATCTACACAGCACACGATTCATCAATTCAAAAAGTGTCAAAGAAAACTGTTTTTATCGCTTACTACTATCGAAATAGAGCTGTTGCGTTGGTTGCTCACTTGAGTAACGCACAAAAGGTTTTCTTCGTAATTGCACAGTGTCGGAATCGAACTGCGCAACATAAAGTATGAAAAATACACCGTAAACGTCATACTGGTTGTCAGTATAGTAGGTGTACGAAGAGTAGTTTTGTTGTGTTAGTAATTTGACTCTTAAATGCAGTGATAATAATTTCATTACCCAAACTTTACAAATATTTTATTTATGTGTAAGTAGAAAGGCTTGACATCTTATTCATATACATTTTCATTTAAATTTTCTCTTGACCTTGTCCTCTTGTGGGCTCCCCATGTACCTATCTCTAATTTGTATTTCCTAGATGTACCTAACTTTTGTTTAATGATTTTGCCGAGCAAAGCACAGGTGAAGTGCTTAGGCGTGCCGCAAATTTTAATTAAACTTTTATCTGCCACTAACTGGAATTTCTGATAAACACAGTTATTGTTTATCCATGTATTAATATTGATTTGGTATCCAATGTGAAGTAAAATAATAATTTGGAATTAAAATGCAAGTTTATAGATTAAAATGTAGAACATTTGCAAGTACAATTAACTTGCGTGTTGATCCCAATTACACTTAGGGGAAGCAATAGATTTCCGGATATCAACTTTATCACTTGTTACTAATTCAAGAGAATTAAAAAACACCAGGTTCAACTTAAAATTCATAGTAGGTTAACCGATTTATGACTTGCGCCGATAAAGATTAACAGGTAATAAATATTTACACTTGGGTAATTTGTATCCGATCTGCATCCAAATTGATATATTTTATTGAGAGCTACGACTATAAAATGTTGTGACTCATAAATTACTCGTCACGGATATGAAACCGGTAAATTTTTAAATTAGTCCGAAGGCGAACTATTATTGGATAGGTACCTGGTTTTTGTGTTGTGAACTTGATTCAACTTTACTGGGGTCATCGCCTTAATCGCAATCAACGTTATGCTTTTCGAAATGACCTATTATGTGTGTGCTTAGGACTAAGTCGGTATTTTAATATTGTTCAACTGCAATCAAGGTAGAATCTAACAATTTAATTGGCACGATTGCAATTTCGAGGGCTAGTGGCCAGCATCGTAAGATGCTGCGAGATGTCAAATGAGCCTTAGAACAAATTTAAACTCGACATTCATCTCATCTTCTAGGAGGGGGATGGGAGCGGCCGAGGGGGACTATCAAAACATAAAGATCAATCAATGTCATTTTTCTGCCGCTACTCAATACAGTGTGTACTATTTTTTACGGGTCATATAAAAAAATCGAGTTTTTGATTTCTCTGAAACGAAATGTTGTATTGAAAATCTCCCAACCATATCTTGGTAGAGTTTAAATAGTGGCGAATAGAAAGTTTTTTTTTTAATTTTTATTTATATCATCATAATAGCACCAGAAAAAAATCGGCAAATTTCGATTTTTCTGTCATATCTTCGGAAGCAATCGGAATTTTCAGATTTATTTACTGGATGATAATAATTCCTTAATTGCGCAATGCGCAACTTTTCCCTAATTTGACTATCTTCGTTTCTTCTATGGGTTTGGAGATCCCCATGATAGACCAAGTGATAGACATGCTTATCAAGGACAGAGTGTATATCGACCTTATTTTTAATAATAATAATATATTTATTGAGTTATTGTGTGGGTACACTTACTCTAGTCAACTCAGTTGCAGAATAATGTAAAAATTAACTAGAATTTTTAAAAATGTAATTAATTCAAATGTTTACTGGGTTAGCTTCTCATGTGACTGAAGAGAATTCTTGATTGTGCCTCCATTCAAATAGTAGAGAAGGGGCAAAGGTACCAGTAATCGACAAATTAAGCAGATAAATCAATTTATAAGGTTAATGTTGTCTGAAAGTGTGATATATTATGTAATCATGGACGAAATTAACGCACCACTTAATTAATTTATATTAGTTATATAGTTTTCTTGCATTAGATTGATCTGATTGATAGAAACTTGTAACAGGCCAATGATCAATTATCAACAGAAATCAACCAGAAAAGACCTTTTTAAGTTTCTTTTTATTGCATACTTAATTAATGGTGTTAAAAAATCGCAAGATATGAACTAAGTACACAAAACAAGATACGAAGAATCCCATACGATTTTCAGTAGGGGAATTTGTTGTCACTCTGCTCGTATTCGGAAACCAGTCTTTTGATTCTGCTGATATTCAATAGCACCGATCCTTGAACTCGTAGAAATCGATTGGCGAAGGTTTGACATCGCTGTCTCTTTTCGTCCTCGGGTTAGATTAGGAACAGACAGACAGACGGACAAAGCCGAGGACAAAGCCTTCACGAGGGGAATTTTTTTCTTTCGAAAAATTCCTCTAAATATAGACAATTAAATTTACTTATTTCAACCGATCTCGCGTATGGATTCCTCTACTTCTGATTACTGCAAGCATTCACCGTGACATGGTGGGGGTATACGGCCATACGCAGTTGACTTAAATCGACACTGTTCGCCGGCCATTCTATTAAATGATAATGTACTGCATTTAAATAGTCAATCATTGCATAACCACGTGGAGACGAGCATTATCTTTCATAAAAACAACATTAGCCCCCATGATAGGAACAAACAGAATTATATATTCAACTATGACGTTTTCG